ATGTTTCTGTCTGTCTCTTCTCCACACTCTCTTTCTACCAAATATTTCTTATCCTGCTCTTCTCAAGAGTACCCTGGAGAAAAAGTGGGAGCTGGCCTCCCACAGAGACTTAAAGAGGAGAGGCTTCTCTTTAAAGACTGAAGAGAAACTTCATCAAAAGTGAAAATGAGAGAGCTAGGAAGAGACAAGAGAAACCCTTAAGAGGGATGGATGGTAAGGAGCCCCGAGAGGCCTCATAGAGGGCAGTGTACTCCCCAAGCAAGTGCCCCCGAGAAGGCTCGGCGCCAATCCCCAGAAAAACAAAGGGAAAATCTGACTTGTGTAAGTTTTGGGGTGAGGGGGTTGTTGGGAAGTTTTATAGCACATGATTTGGTTCAACATGGCGAACATCACAGAGACATGGAAGGACCGTGTTCTCTACACAGGGCTGTCAAGTCGCAGCACAGACTGCCTCTTACCCCTGTAACAGCAAGAACCACACAGAGGCTCAGCAGGGTGTCCTCCAGCAGCAGGGTCTGCCTTTTCAATGGGATCTCTCTTTTACAGGTAGGTTTTTGTTCTAACACATGAGTGTTTTATTAGAGATCAAGTGAGATAATTCATAACAAACAAAACAAAACTGAACACTCAGTCTCAAAAGAGGGAGAAAAAACAATCATAAACCAGTTGTCTTTTGGTAACTTAATTTCTATACAGATGTTATCTTCAGGGATCTGCGGTTCTGATGACCATGTGCTGAAAGGGGAACTCTCAGTGAAATTTCCTTTAATTCCGGGTCATGAAGGAGCAGGAATTGTGGAGAGTGTTGGCGATGGAGTTTGCTCCGTGAAACAAGGTAGAAAATGGGAAACAAAATGTATTGGGAGCAGCATGCCAGGGAACTCCTGATCTGAAGAGGAGGTACTCTGCTCTGTTAGCATATTCAGCAGAAAAACAAGTTGGGTTTGCCTCTAGATTCTTCTAGCTAAGGACTTGTCACGTTATCAAATGAAGCCAGTAATCCAAAGATCGCTGTCACTTCTTTTCTGACAAATGCAGGGTGTGGAGAACCAGTTCCTGAGCCAGCCAGATAAAGGTTGATATAAGAGCAGAGAACCTCTGATCTTGTCAAAAGGGCCTTAGGCTTAAGAACTGCTGATGTTTTGATCCCGAGAATGTTTTAGAATGATGCCCATTCCAAAGTTGGAGTGTTTGACAAATGAATGGATGTTTTAATCAGCTAGAATGTACTGCTTGAAAGTTACATGGCAGGATGATAGTTACATTTCAATGAATCTTCCCCAGTTGCATCTGAAAGGATCTTGACATGGTTATTCTTAGCATGCCTAAAAAATGATCACAGTGAATTAGCAATCACTCCTAGATGATGTTAATTCAGAAACCCCATAGTTAGGGACAGCTGCATAAAGAGACTTAGGAAAGTACATAGTAAGGCCATTCATGGCCATCGTTAGTGCATTCACAAAGTGTACAGCAATTGTGAGATGCCTACTGTGGATCAAGGAAGAGACACAGGAGTAGAGAGCTGACGATGCATCTCCCAGAATGTAGTATAAATAAGAGTTTACAGGCTAGCTCCTCTTTAGCCAGAAAGATTCTACTGGGGATTTTGTGGGAGACGATAATGAGCATTTGAAGGAAAAGAATAGTTAGAACTTCTCTGGATTTGAGATCTAGTATCTAGAAAATTTTAGAGTCAGTAAAGGTAAAATACGCTTTATCTAAACTTAAAGAGATTTTAAAATGTCATCTTAAGGAATTTTCCTATACAATCAACATTTGTAAGGGCCAACACAAAGAGAACACTGTAGACCCTGGCAGAGTCTGCCCGAGTCTGTGACTCCTGCAGAGGTCAGCCTTCTCCCAAGTCCCTCTCCGTCTGTCGCTCTAACCCCAGGGCATGAGCTGATCCGAGACCCAACATCATCAAGATCCTCTCCAGAACTCTTTCCAGTAATTCTTCCACAAAGAAAGTGGAAGAGAAAGAACTTTTTTCCCTCTGAGGTGGACACAGCTTAGAATCCATCAACAGCAAACCAGTGCCAGAGGCTTGTGGGACCAGTGACGGTGTGGGAATGGGTGTGGGAGTGGGCCTCTCAAACTCCCAAGAGAGCGCTGGCATTGCTGGGCTACCACTGCCTATAACCAGCAAGGGATTACAGTTTTGTTTTCATTTGTTTGTTTATTTTTCGAGACAGGATTTCTTTGTGTGTAGCCTTGGCTGTCCTAGAACTAGTTCTGTAGACCAGGCTGGCCTCAAACTCACAGGCTGCCTCTGCTGGGATTAAAAGTGTGTGCTACCACTGCCCAGCAAGGGATTACATTTTTTAAATGGAAAACAGAAGAATCACACTAGATGACTTTACGATTCCTTCTTGGTTCTATTGCTCTATTTTCCGAGTCAGGAAAGGCAGCCCTATAACTCTGCCATGCAGGCAATGTCTCCTCATCTTTATCAAAATAGTAACGATCTGAAACCAGGAAAAAAGTCATGTGCTGTAACTGGAGTGTTACACTAGCTGCTATCGGCTGTCCATGGCCTGTTTTAAGAGAGTCAGTAAGATTCTATCATTTTTTTTATTCCATGAATATTTCAGATTTATTGATTTATCTCCCCCTCCCTTACAGGAGACAAAGTTCTCACACTCATTATTCCACAGTGTAGAGAATGTGATGCCTGCTTGCACTCCCAAGGAAACTTCTGTGACAAGCAAGAGTGAGTAGATTTGATCCTTGCCCTTTTTATCCAATTGCTCACATTGTATGTGCCTAATGGTAACCACATCTCTTTTCAACTTCTATGCCTGTGCCTGTACGTGGGTGTCTGTCTACATCACTGTGGGACAGTGTTCTTCCATGTTCCGGGGTGATGCTGGACGGGACCTGTAGATTTTCCTGCCGAGGACAGAAGATTTATCATTCCTTCCGCACAAGCACGTTCACTGAGTACACTGTTGTGCCCGAGATTGCAGTGGTAAAAATTGATGATGATGCTCCTATGGATAAAGTCTGTCTCATAAGCTGTGGCGTTCCTACAGGCTATGGGGCTGCTGTTAACTCAGCCAAGGTGAGCAAGGTATTTGTTGTTAGGTCGCGAAGCACCCCGAAATGGGATTGCTGATGGCAGTCTCCTAAAAAACGATGACCTGGGTCTAACCCAGGCTAGATTCTTACTGGGTAAACAGAAGGATTCTTATCCAGTAAACAGAAACCTAAACTTGGTATCCCTCAGAAACCTCTTAGTGTGGGTTTCTGTTCATCGGGAAAACAACTACCCCACCCCCAACAGCAAAGTGTATCTAGTTCCTGATTAACCTGTATCAGTTCAAAAGTCTCCAGGCTAACTCCCAGCTTTCCTGGCCCCCACCCACCTCCCACGCTTACTTGATGGGTGAAACTCAAACTCATTTTTCCCAGCAAGCCGTTGTTCTTAACTCTCCTGCCCAGGCAGCAATTTGTCCCCCAACAAACTTCTTTCTACCCACAGTGGTCTAATTCCGTGGTGTGACTGTACCTCACTTACATTTGTGTGTTATCCGTATATCGTGGTGGGGAGGGATATCAAAACTAGTTGCAAATGATCAAAGTGTTGTATACATAGTTTCAAAAAGCTCACTAGTCTTTTTTAACTCACTGGTTTATTTTCTTAACTGCCTGTGTCCAGCTTTGAAAATTAATAAAAAGCATGCTGTATGAATCTGCAGGTCACCCCTGGCTCCACCTGTGTGGTGTTTGGACTCGGAGGGGTCGGCTCAGCCGTGGTCATGGGCTGCAAAGCCTCTGGTGCTTCTAGAATCATCGGGGTTGACATCAATGAGCAGAAGTTTCCCCGGGCAAGAGCCTTGGGCGTCACTGATTGTCTCAACCCTAACAAGCTCAAGAAACCCGTCCAGGAGGTGGTGATGGAAATGACTGGTGTGGGTGCTGACTTTGCCTTTGAGGCCATCGGAAAGGTTGAGACCATGGTGTGTTTACTGGGCACAGTGAGGGGGGAAGCCTCAAATGCATAATCATGAGCACTTCTGGAAATATGGCTTTTGGCCTGTGTGCCCCTAATGAAAAATGGAATATAAATTCACTCTACAGCCGTATTTTCTGAACAAAGGCAATATGCATGAAGAGATATAAAGTTATGGTACACGAAATTGAGATATGCAAAGAGCTGTGAGATCAGTAATTTACTTTTCTCAACTCTAATTGTTTACACCTAAATAAGAAAATTATCGGATTCACATGTATTTATCTGTGTTCTCTAACAGAACTAGACCTCCGTGTGTCAAGTTCTATGGCTACAGGAACTAATGACCCAGCTGGCATCCTCCTGGGTCATACAGTTTAGAGAAGAGGATGTATATACTCATTACATTGAAATGTGTGTCTAATTCCTTGGTCGAAGGCTGAAGGATATTAGTGTAGGGGTGTAGGTAACAGAAAAGAGGCAAATAAGGTCAAATTTGAGGGGAAAGGAAAGGGAACAGAGTTAAGACAAAATAGATGAGAAAAATGTGTGCCCGTGAATCACTGGAAAATGCGGTTTTTTAAATGAAACTTGCCCAGTTACATCTGTATTTATTACGCTCTGTTCTGTTTAGGAGAAATCAACTGAGCAGTGAAGCAGAGCCAGTGAAGTTAGACAAACACAGTGTGCGGCCTTTACGGCAGTGAAGGGTTTTATCAAACATACCGTTTGTTCTTGTCTGCCGGCGTGGTGATCAGGGAGCGGGTTTTCAGGATGATAAATCAGTCAGTCAATACTTAGAACAACCCTATGAGGAAACGGAGCCAACAAGGCAGTTAAAGTGCTTGCGTGAGTCACACAGGTTGCAGAGTCTGCACTTTTTACTCCTACACTGAACTGACTCTCTGAGGAGATAGATGCCCATGACCCTCCCCCCGTCTCAAAGCTGAATTTGAAGTTGCATCTACCCAAGAGAAGGTGACATCTCAGGGTATGCAGGATTCTTCCCCCGTGGGGTACCTGGTATTAATGCATGGGGTGTGCCTGTGGCTGTCGCTGTCGTTCTCAGGTCGCTGCTTGGAACTCCTGCAATAACAGCTATGGTGTCTGTCTGATCGTTGGGCTGGCCCCGGTAGATGCACAGCTATGCCTTGAGGCGGCCAAGATTTTGTCCGGAAAAACCCTGAAGGGCGTGTGTTTGGGAGGTAGGTGGATGAGTAGAAAGGTATAATCACTTAGGTCCTCCTCTTAGGGGACCAGATATCTAGAGTAAATGTGTCCAAAGGCTCCTCCAGAAATGAGAGTAACATTCTTCAAATTGCTTTTTTTTTTAAATCTGGGGGACGGTGTAGTATCATGTAGGCATGTGGATATATTCATGTGTGTGTACATGTGTACATGCATGTGTGTGGGTGTGCAAGCACGAGTATATGAGTGTGCACATGAAAGCCGGAGTTTGACATCAGGTGCTTCCTCTACCCTCTCATTTTTTGACACAGAGTTCCTCCCTACACCTGGAGCTCACCAGTTGGACTAAACTAGCTGGCCAGTGAGTTCCAGGTATCCTCCTGTCTCCACTTTCCTAGAGCTAAGACTACATGTGCATAACTGCCATTCCTGACTGTTCACCCTGGGTGCTGGGGACCTGAACTCATGGAAAGTACTTTACCCACCAAGCCTTCTCCCCAAACCACCAAGTTAATTTTAATTAGCTAAATAAAATAATGGAGCCATTGAGGATTATAATTGTCCTCCAAGGAAAAATATTCTTGCAGCAATTAGAATCATTTAATCAGCTTTGATTCTGCACTGATGGCTTCACAGTTTATTGTGCTACTTTAACAGCAATGCCCTTTCGTGTCTTAAAGGTCATTGTGTGCACTAAACTGGTATTGTTGAGCATGTGTTTCTCTCTTCCCAGAAAAAAAAAGCCCTGATTTCTGAGCAATATTGATTAGCTGATTTAAAAATTAATCCTCCTATTTCTATCCACTCATCCAGTGGTGAGTGCCCATGCCACCTCCACACACATGAGCAAAGAGGGCTCCCGTGCCCTCTCCATGCTGGTGGATGGATACAGTTTCCACACCACCTCTGTGTGTAGAGACGATTCCCCGGCATGTGAGAGAAAATCCCAGAATACGGGTTGGTGAGGTGAAAAGATTATCTTTTAACTCGGTAATATGAATATTGATCCAGATTTCATTTAAAGGATGACTAGGTAACAGAACTGTCTATAGAAGCCACACTTAACAGCAGCTGTCAGTGGCTTCTCAGGTACAAATGATTTCTCCTTCATTTTCAATGATAAATTTTCAGAGAGTATCTTACTCGTCTCTCATGACCTGCTTGATTTTTTTAACTCTTTTGATTAACTAATACTTCTTATTTTTACTACACTTACTTAATTATTATTTGTGTGTTTGGATGCGTGTGTGTGTGTGTGTTCTTGCCAGAACCGGTGCCTTACCTTGCGGGTCCTGGAGATCTAATGCAGGTTGTCAGGTCTCTATAGCAGGAGCCTTCATCAGCTGAGGCATCTCACCAGCCTGGTTGGTCTCAGGTCATGTTATTAAAAGCCATTTTGTTTTGCAGATTATAAAACCAGAGACTGTATTCCCCAAATAGTAACTGATTATCTCCAAGATAAGATTAATATAGATCCACTAGTGACTCATCAGCTGCCTTTTAACCAACTCCACAAAGCCTTGGAACTGTATCATGCAGGAAAAACGTGAGTTTTTGGTGATCCCCTATATTCTGATAACTCATGGAGGAGATGACTGCTTAGCTATTTTAAGCGGTTTTGTTTAAAGGGGGCACTTTTGGGACCTTTGGTATCTTTTATACACATCTCCATATTTCCTAATGTCATCAAGTTAGGAAAAGGCTTTACCTGCAGTCTCTCTTTGGGAAAAGCCTACTCCCTCAATTTCAGAAGGATAGTGAATTCAACATAAACAAAGAACTGTAGTTTCCACATCGGTCAATAGTGTTTATTTGTCTGATTAGAGAAATTATCTAAAACAAATGAATTTCTGGTGTCAGCAACCTTGCAAAAACTCCAAGAAACATGCTGAGACTCCCGCCAAGGGCACAAATCCTTGTGTAACAGTTTAACAGTAGAAGGTAAACCTTGGCGCATTGGAGCCAAGGGGCACCACAAAGCCAGACAATGCAACAGAGCTGCAACAGAGCCCACATGGGAGGTTTACTGGCGGGGTGGGGGCCGAAACGGGGGTACGGGTGCAGAGGCAGCCCCTGGGTGAGAGCAGAAGGAAGGGGGGGTGAAAGGGGCTTGCTCTTTATAAGGGGATATCGTGTATGCACATAGAGAGAGTGCTCTACTCTGTGGGTGAGTACTCACAGGTGGGTGGCTGCAGCAGTCAGTGTCACATCTTGGCACTGGTGCTGAGTCCTGCTAGGTGCCCGAGGGCAGGCTGGTGTAAATGCCTGAATACCAACACCTTGTCCATCTTTTCTGAATGATGGTCTACCACGTATTAGCACAACTGTAGGACTGCAGCGTTTACTCCCCCAGCACTAATTTGTTGACATGTTCTTTAAATGCTCAGAAGTTGATAGCAGACTGTTGCTATATGAGCAATTTCCTGGGAACTTATATTACACACACACACACACACACACACACACACACACACACACACACACATCTACTTACCCCAGAAAGGGAACGGACAGTAGGCAAAAGTAATGATTACACCAGAGTCCAACTTGGATAACCGCTGAGTTTTTATTGGGGTCACTAACAGGCATGAAGGGATATTCACAGGAACAGGGATGATTCTAAAGCAACTTCATCACAGAAAAGCCCCCCTCCCCATGGGTGATGATTCAGGAAGGCTGCATCCTTGGAGCTCTCTGCATGACTCACAGGCAGCTCAACAGATCCCAGGGACCTCTCTGCAGCTGGGCTGCTCAGAATCTCCTCCTGAGCAGTTTACCACTTCTATGGCTCTGGGGAGTGGCTATATGTCTTGCAAGCTTCAGCTCTCCCAGACTGATGAAGCTCGTTTATCTCCAGACTTTCAGGAGCCTCCTTTCTCCCTTCTGGAGCAAATGTTTCAATTTGCCCTGCAATTGCCTTCCAGGACTGCTGCAAGTGTGGCAGGTTCAGTGTAGAGCAAGAAATAAACTTTGATGCATGGGCTTTTCCCGTTCCCTTTGAAGCAAGTCTTCAGTTCGTGTTCTTTCCCCAACTCTGCCTGCACATTTGCTTAATGATTTTTATATGAAAACCTTCACATTTTTGCCCTATTTTTTTCCTGGTCAAATTTCACCGGGAATGTCAACCCATTTAAGACAAGAACAAAGCTCCAGGAAAACTCATCTGAAATTTTTAAATGATTATTTTGTATGGGGGAAGGCATCTGCCAGGCAGTGGACATAGTGCAAGAAGAAAGGAACCGGAGAAAGTCATCTTTTTCTTTCTGGTCCAGATGTTAGGCAAGATGTTACAGCAGCAGGATGTTGATACGAAGCTGCACCTGAGATCCTGGGATCTTCTGTGGTTGTGCAGCCATGGGGACCTGTGCTTGAAGAGGATGCCTTCCTTCTCTGTAGGACATTGGATTCCAGACCCCACTCAGATGCCAATTGTCACTTAGATGAATTAGAGCGGAAATGAAATCAAGATGGGGACGGTTGGGCATTGAGCATCCCTAGGGTGCCACACACATCTCTGTGCCAAAGGCAGTGCTTCCTGGGCGTTTCATGATCAAATATTTTATGTTTCAGCATCCGCTGTGTTCTACTCTTCTGAGATCTCAATGCTAAAAGTGCAAGAGCACCCTGAAGGGCTTTTCGGTTTCACCTCTGGATATTCCTGAGCAGCCTGAAGGGATGATGGATACATCAGCGGCAGGAATACAATGTAGCTGGGCAATACAAAATGAAGACCCCTTGACTATACTGATAATAAAACAAGTGGGAAGGACTGGAGCTGTGCAACTCACACTGTGACCCTACAAAGAGAAATGATGGCTTCCTATTCATGATAGTATTGATCATGTCCACAAACCAACTGCCATAAGTTCATGGAAGCTGTCCCCATGTTCATATCTTCCAGATACCTTCCTATGTGCAGATTTCCCTGTATATTCCACACCACTTTCCAACCTGCTATGGAGTCGTCATTAAGAGGTCCAGGGAGCTAGACCATAACAGGTTTCTAATAGCCCTGACACAGACCAGGCCTTAGTCTCCCTTTACTAGAACTGGCTGGAACTGAGCAAGCAGTTCTTGGGAAGACCGCAACTCAGGAGCAACCAATCAGCAGGCCCCCCACAACCTTCTGCTAGCTCAGCAGGCCCCCCACAGCCTTCTGCTAGCTCAGCAGGCGCCCCACAGCCTTCTGCTAGCTAAAGATAGCTTTTCCTACCCTGCTGCTGAAAGGTCCCTAACCAGTACAGCCTCCCACCAATCAGCCCCAGACTAATCTTTCCTCCACCAATCAGCCCCAGATTAACCCATCCTCCCTGGAATTCCCCTAACCCTGCTTAAAAAAAAAGTCTGTGAGCTTTTCTGGGTGTCACCTTTTGCCACCCTAAGATGTTGGAAATTTTGATAAACACTCTTGTTGATTGCATATGTGACTGGTGGTCTTTTATGGGACTCCTCTCGGATCCTAACAGTCATCAATGAAAGGCACTCTCAGATGCAGTGAGCCATCTTCTGTCCTTCAGGGTTTGCATCAACCATTGCTATTACTCATGAAGGAGTGAGGCATGGCTCCCAGCTGCCAATTTGGGAAATTTTACAACTTACAACCCAGGGAGAAGATACAGGATCTTCTCAGAGGGACTGGGCCACATCTCTAGCACCACCCCCCCCCCATTCCTACCAAGCCTTTCCTCCTCAACAAACTCGGTGTAGTCATCTCACTTGGAGTTGAAAGACAGAAGAGAGGAAATGAGGTTTAGCTCTTCTTAGTCTCGACGTTTCCATCAGTCATACTTCCTGCTTTGGCCTTCACTCATTAGCATTCATTCAATCTTTTAGGTTTTGAAACATGAGAAAGAGTCCTCTTACCACCATTTCACAGATAAAGGGAGCTATGTATAGCGCTGCACTCTTAGTTTTCAAAACAGTGTTTAAATTGCATTGTTTTTGTATTTTTAAACTCAGTTTTAAAAATACTAAAATGTGCTTTCAAAAGAGGTATCTGAATGTGTTCCTAGTTTTGTATCTAGATTTAGGTTTTCGTCACCAATATTTGAAAAGCTGTGACAAATATGATGAAATCACAGTGGGGGAAATGTCGGTGACATAAGACAAACGTATAGAAGGTATTTATATATCCTAGAAAATGGTAATAAATACTTATTATGTAAAGAATGCTCATAAATTAATAATATATGATAATATCATGTCCCAGTGGAAAATTAACTAGGTCAGAAACAAGTATCTTGCCAAATAAAAAGTACTAAGCAATGGACTGTGAGATAGTTCAGTGGGTAAAGGAGACGGCTGGGAGGTCTAGGAGCCTGAGTTCAGTCTATGGGACCCGTGTAGAGATGGGGGGACATCTGGGTCAACCAAGTTGGCTCTGCTCCTCCATGTGCTGTGGCAGAAGCACGCACACACATTGTGACTGCTCGAACACGTGTACACAAAAATAATTGTTTTAGAAAAGAAAAAAAATACTAAATAAAGTAATGATGTCATTGTTCATATCATAGGTTGTCAAAACCCAAAACATATGGCGCTCTGCACATGTCAAATGTGGAGGAAATATGAACGCATACCATCACAATAGAGCTGTGTAGGTCAAGATGCTCATGGAACATGCCATCACACCATGACCTACCTAGTCTAAAAGTCCATGAGCTCTCAGCAGAGTAGAAACTGGTCTGGCAGTGAGCAGCTGAGAGCATTCTCTAGGAGTGGAAGAACTTACGCAAAGGCTGTGAGACAGGAGACAGCACGTCCCAACTTACTGTAGCATGCAGGGGACAAGCAGGATGGCTGTGGGTGAGATTAGAGAACTAAGGGAGACAGGATGGTCTAACGGACCTTTTTCTTCAAAGGCACTTGTATAAATACTGATTGTAACTCTTCAAATTAGAAACAGCTGAAATGTCCAGTAGTTGTTATTGATGGAATAACGTTTTTCCCTTAAATCATGGTATGTCATACAACTTTTTCAAATGACAAAATATATTACTAAGTTTAAAAAGGAACCACAATATTAAGGTAGTTTGCAAATGCACATGCCTGTTGTGATTGCTTTGACATATATAAGTAAACAAACAAATAAATCTAGGAGTCTCTTTGTTGAAATGATTAACTGACTGGTAAGATTATATTCGTTGTAAGGGGGAAAGTGGGGTGTTTTAAAATAGCTTGATTGGAAATGTTACAGAAATGCCGGCCCATTCCAGTTCTACATCTGTCATACTAACCCCTTGGCAATACCTCTCAGACCATCCAGATTGAAGCTGTCTTCAGTCTTCAAGGACTGACTCTAAGACACTGGGTGGTTTTAAAAAGAGAACATGTAATTGCTTATGAGACGCAGTTGGTCAGGGGTGCAAAACATTAACAAGAGAGACAGGTGAGAGAGGAGAGAAAAAACTCTGAAGAGAATAAAATTTGAGGATGATAAAAAGGATGTGCACATGGCTAGTGGGTCGGCAAGCCAATCAGCAGGCAGCTAGCAAGGAAGTCAGTGTGAGCATTCTGCCTTTGCCGACTTGGGTTGCCAAAGAAATCAGTTTCGTTTGGTGAATTCTCCAGAAGAACTGAAAGTGTAGCCGTGGAGCTATGTGGCAGGCTGCCTGGATCATCTCTGCCAGTTTTCTACCCAACAGCACCCTGCCAGGCCAGGTATAAATCATGTCACTCCCTAGAAGCTCTCCTTGGGTGGAGCTCACATTGTCAAGTATCTTAAGATCCAGGAGATACCTACAGTCGGTGGCAGGAGAACATTGGGGTGTCTTTGAGAGCAAGGGAGCCTTCTCAGTTCCTGTGCTTTGCTTCGGGAACTAAGGCCCTGGAAACTCAAGCCACCCCAAGCTAGTGGCTTTTAGATTCTTGTCTCTTGAATTCAAAGAATGAAATTCATGGACCCCAGAAGGTAAGTTTTAGGGGGGGAGCTACTTTTATTACAGAAAGCTGAAGAGAAAGAAAGAAAGCAGAGCCCCTAGCTTCAGGAGGGGTCCTGGGAGTGGGATGCCATCGAGGGCCACTGCCTTGAAGTTGACAAGGCTTTGTTGGGTGAAGGATGGAAGAGAGGGAGAGGAGCTGATCTAAGGTGCCCAGGTGCCCCATTTCAGCCACACTCCCCCCTCAGGGGAGAAGAAACATGGAACAAACAGACCTCCTCTTTCTGACACCCCAGCCTCTGGTCATGGCAGAACCAGAGACATTTCGGCTGAAACGTATCTGGCCTCTTTCAAGGACCAGGATGCCGACATACCCAAGAACATTTTTGACTTCTAGCCAGAAAAGAAAACTGTCCACTCTTCAGGAACGCCTTTACCCTAAAACTGCCTGGCCAGTTGCTAGCAATCTCCTGTTCTCAGCATTTCCTTCCCCTCCCTGAGGAGACAACGCTAACAACTATTAGGATATTGGGGTGAAAATCAATCTGGGTTCTACAAGTCGGGGCAGGGTTTCGGGTGTGTCTACTGGCTTGCTCCTGTATTGGGCCTATCTAAAAGGCCCCCCAAAAGTGCTCCTATGGCTTTATTTGTATAATTGTCAGGTAAGGGGGGGAGGGGTCTTTGGCTCCTGAATAGGTGACAGGGAGAAACAATAAGTGAAAGATGAGTCTGAGGACACGGAGTAGTTCCTATGGTCCCCATTCTTGTAGATTTTCAGGAATTAGAGGGTGACTAATGGAGCCCACAGAGATGGAGTCAGACCACCACAGTCCTTCTGAGTATGGACTGACTGTAACTAAGGGCAATGAAGTTAAAACAGGAGTTAACTACACAAAGTCCAGGATGTGACAGGATGACCATTAAGATTATGAGAGACCCCCTTCCACCACAAAGACACAGCTCGCTTTCAGAGCTGTTCACCATCGGCATGATGTTGTCTGTCACAGTCTGAATGGTTTTGCAGATCTTGTAAAGCAGATAATACATGAACAGAATTACCAGGAGTATGTAGATACCCAGCATCCAAGTTTGATAACAGTACAAGTGTTCCCTTGGGCTGCTGGGATATCTCAAGCTATGCCTCTTTGTATGATTGTCTTTCATATCATTTGAACTTCAGAATTAATTAATGGTGACTGGGGGACACTGTAAAGGGGAGAGGAACCTCATCCACAAAAGCGTGTTTTGTGTAATGTAACCAAGATGCTAAAATAAGTGTTTTTACATGAATTTCTAACGTCTTCTGACTCAAAATGAGTGTTGTAGGATCACCCAAATTTTTCATCTTACTTCAGTACACGGTGCTGCCGTCTCTCCTTGTTTGTGTTTTGTTTTGTTTTCCAAATATTTGCATTAAAAGTTTGCCACCTTGCATCAGTCTGTTCCTCTGTCATCAGACTTGGTCAAAGGGATAAGTCCCCAACCAAAAGTCTACAGCAGCCACTTTAGTGAATTCAGCTATTCCTGTTTGCCTTCCAAATGCCAGTAATGATCTCGAATTCAGCTCTCAGTGGGCGATAGTAATTAGTTGCATAAAGAATTAATGAATCTATAAAAGTGACTAGGCCACAGATCTTTTTCTTCTTAATTGGGGCAGAGAGTGAGATCCAGAAAGCCTTACCCACAAAACCTACAAAACTAGCCCATAAGAAATGCCTTAAACAGAGTGCAAAGGGGAAGGCCGGAAATCTCCAGCTAAGGACGACTAGACGTGGCTGGAGGCACTGGAGCAGGATCATAGGCGCTCCAACTATAGACCGGGAGCTCGTCCATTAAAATCCACAAACCTGAGTGGAGATTTAAAACGCTGATGAGGAACAAAGGGCAAGACAGCACAGCTAGAACAAGCAGGCAAAAGCCCAGTTATGCAAACGAACCAGACAAAAGCTTGTACTCTGCCACCCCAAAGTCCCTCTGTTTGTGCAGCAGGGTGCTGCTTTTTGCTCTGGCCCCTTTCTCCTCTGGAAATGTATGGTTTCCTAATAAGCTCCCATTTCTGCTACTATCCACAGGTCTCTGCTCAGCTCCTTATTCTGGGACAGAAGATTGTGAAACCCCTTCGAGGTGCCCACGGAACCCAGATAGCTGCCCCTTGTCAGCTGGTGAATCAGAAAGCAGGTTAGGATTTTTGTTTCTAATCTCTTAAGCTTTCTACTCGTTCTGGGGTGCCTGGGAGTAACTACTCCAAGTTGTGAACAAGGGCAGGCTACATACTTTTAGAGGGATGACGTTTGGAGACTCCGGTGACCGGATAATCCGGTTGTGGGCCGAGATCAGGTCATCTTGCATCAAAAAGCTCCCTGTAAAATCACACCCACTCACACGCCACAGCAGGTCCCGGGAAAGACTACCAACCTCACAGGAGGGAGGAACACGTTGTTCCTTTTTGCTCTCTCTCCTCATGTGCTTGCCTTCCTCGGCAGCCCCTCCCTCTCTTCCTTTTCCCCCGTTCTTCCTTTACCTCCGCCTGCTTTCCCCAATGATGCTCACACAGGCGTGGACACTAGGAACCGAGGGGCTCTCTGGATTCTCACTGCTGTTCAGAGGTCAAGGGTCCCGGCCTCAGCCTCTGGGCACTACAGCGCCAGAAGAACCAAGTGTCACATGATCCGGATGGCCCTGGGCCTCAACAGTGGTGCCACAGCTCCAAGTCTGGGGCAGTCCCAGCTGCTGGCTCTGCCACACACTGCCTCCTCCCCGTGCTTCCCTGATGGGGGGACGCACTCAGCTCTCCCCATTCTGAGAACTCCTCCTTGGCTCTGCTAGAGACATCCCCACTGTTTGGGTTACTTCACTTTGTTTTCGGTTACTGTGTCCTTTCTACATTTAGTAGACATTTCCCTCCTGAAGATATAGATTGGGTCTGCCAGTTAGCAAGACATTCCTTCCAACACGGGTTCAAGAAAAATAAGCCGATCATTTGTTCTTTTAACCTGTTTGGGTGTCTGGGGAAAAACCAGAGCCGTTAGTGCAGGACATTTTTAGAGCCTCATGGGAGAGGCCTTCCGAGGTGTATAGGATGTAGTCTCAGAGATGCCCATAACAGAGACTTGTTCCCCAGTCTTGGGAAAGTTATCATGGGACATAGTTCCTAGAGAAACAGCACCAGTGTGTCTCATCCTCCTGTGAGCTGTGCTCAGTTCTCCAGAGACACCTGGTGGATTTGACGGTGCCCCAACACACTAGGTCTTCTGAAGGCCTCCACACATGTATTAAAGGGCCCTTGCATTCTTCTCAGGCCCCAGGAAACTCAATCTCTGGCTCCCTGCCACAGTGTAAGCTCAAGAACTAGACCATGTATGATCCCGAGGAAAGGGTGCGGATACTGTAACGCCATCCTGATCCTGAGGAAAGGGTGCAGATACCATAATGCTGTTTCTGATGCGGAGGAAAGGGTGTAGATACTGTAATGCCATCTTGATCCCGAAGAAAGGGTACAGCTACTGTAATGCCATCCTGATCCTGAGGAAAGGGAGAGAATACCGTAATGCCATTCTGATCCTGAGGAAAGGTTGTGGATACCTTAATGCCATCCTGCCCCATACAGGTGAGAGGTTTGGTCAAAGGATGGAAGAACCTATATTTGGCCTTGCCTATTCATTACCCTAAGGAAAGTGGGATATGGGAGGAAGGTGGAAGCCATACAAGTGGATAATTGACTCAGAACCCCATAATCTTCTGAGAGCACAGGCCCTTTTAGAACAGGAGCTTGGGATTACAACACCCCAACAGGAACCAATAGATGTAGGGTGATGATTGAATGCCACCCCCAGAGACAAGATCAAAGAGGTTACACAAGAAAGGGAAAGAAACCCTGCCCCATTCAACAGGCTGGTTACAGCCATTGATTTTAAGGTTATCTCAGCTGTCATCACTTGGGCATTTAGCTCTTAAACAGGGAAAGAGGAGAGTCTGAATAGCAGCTTCACCTCTGATAAACACAGACACATACATGGATATATAGAGAGATATATAGATATATCAAAATGTATATATATATACATAATGTATATATATACACATATATGTATATATCTTTGACTAGGGCCTTTCTTACACTTCAAAGATACAGAAATATGAACTTCTACTTTCTTTTGCTGGAAGGGATTTTTAAATTTTTTTAGTCATATTGTATGTATTGTAATATAAATTTCATATTTAACACTGTATTAGAATAATTTACATTCTTTTAAACAGGAAAAAGGAGCGTGATTCCTTATCTAATGTAGCTGTGTCATGTGCGAGAAACACGTGGCTCCACATTAGCCACTCCATTAGGAGGAACCACCTCAGACTCACTTGAGTCTGTAGAAAGTCTGTGCTGTGACAGCGCCTGGCATCAGACTCCTCTTTCACATTCTCTCATTATTATATTGTGAAGTGCGAATCCACCCCCAACTTCCTTCAAGGTCAGACTTTCAACTTTGCAAGGAGAATTCTCAATTGACATAACTTTCTGTAATATTATTAGCCAATTTTTTATTGACATCCTTATCACCTACAAATAGCAATTAAAATTGTGGTGAAATAAATCGCAACTATGAGAAACGGACTGTTTTTTCTCTACATAAATTTTTCTGCACAGTGCCTGATAAGTTGCAAACATCTATAAACATGTTTTTTTTTTTTATTGAAAATAGCCTTTTCTCAAACAATACATCCAAACCACATTTCTCCCTCCCTCCACTCCTTCCAGCCCTGCCTCCCCCAAGCCTCCCCACTCCCCCACTGCCCTGCCTCTCTTCAGAAAGGAGCAGGCCTCCAAGAGACAACAACCAAACAGGACAAAACAAGGTACAATAAGACAAGGCAAAAGCCCTCATACCAAACCTGGACCGGGCAACCCAACTGGAGGAAAAAAGTACCCAAGAGCAGACAAGAGTCAGGGACTCACCCATCCCCACAGTTGGGAGTCTCACAAAAACACCAGACCCATGGAGGCCCTGTGCTTGCCGCTTCAGTCTCAGTGAGCCTAAATGTGCCCTTCTTAGTTGATTCAGTGGGCCAAGTTCACCTGGTACCCTTCATCCCCTCTGACTCCTACAGTCTTTCCTCCCCCTCTTCCTCAAGGTTCCAGGATCTCCAAGAGGAGGGATCAGATGGAGACGTCCAATGTAGACTCTCCACATAATGTCCATCTGTGGGTCTCTGCATCAGCTCTCATCTGCTGCTAGAGGAAGGTGCTCTGATGATGACTGCACAAGGCACTGATCTATGAGTATAGCAGAATATCATTAGAAATCATTTCATTGACTTTTTTCTTTTTCTTTTCTTTCTTTATTTTCTTTCTTCCTTCCTTCCTTTCTTTCTTTCTTTCTTTCTTTCTTTCTTTTTCTTTCTTTTCCTTCTTTCTTTCTTTTTTCTTTTTAGACCAGTCGTGTTTGGTTCTAGCCTGTGTCTCTGGGATATCCAGTCTCTGGTTCCTGGCCATCCAGGCAGTGTGGGCATAGGCTCCTCTTGTGGAGTGGGCTTCAAGTTAAATCAGACATTGTGTGGCCACTCCAACAAGTTCTGTGCCACCATTGCCTTATCACTTCTTGCACACAGCACAGATTGTAGGTCAAGGGCTTTTTGGCTGGGTTTCTGCCCATGTTTCTCCTTCAGTAGCCCACAGAGTACCTTCCCCAACCAAAGAAACTAGAGCATAGAGGTGAAGGCTTCATTCAGGCACCAGCTCAACCTCAAAACACACAGTGAGCTGTGTGGATGCTGTTCTCAGCCAGCAATGTGGTCCCATATCGGTCTTTGCAGAGCAACCCTTTACCCTAGCATCAGCCTGGGTTGTTTGGAGATCTCCATGGGAGCCCCCAGAATCCCCCCCCAACACCTCCACTCCCACCCCTGCCAAAACTCAGCTGAATGTAACCCAACCCCACCACTAGGAGCCTTGCCTGGCTACAAGAGATGGCCAGTGCAGACTCCATATCCCCATTACCAGTCCTCCCCCCTAGAGTCACCCTCATAGATTCCAGGAAGTTTCCACTGCACTAGGTTTCCACATTGCCTCCCACATGGTCCCAAATTCCAGCCATCTCTCTCCACACTCTCTCCTTCCATTCGATCCCCACGACCTGATCCCATCCCCACCCACCCCGAGTCCACCCATAAATATCGAGGACTATGGGGGTCCAGCCCCTCGATAGTCCCCTCCCAGGGTCCGCGGAAGGCTCTATCAACCAGCTGAGGATCTATTCTTTAGGGTCGGTAAATCAGTCTAAGCACGCAGAGTTCTTTGGTCCATTCGCTTTAATTCTTCTGGCATAACATCCTTTATACACAGCTTCAGTTCTGTTCTCGTGTCTAGCTCCTTTCTTGCCTGATTTCTCTCTATATTTATCTACTGTCCCCTCTATGTTCTATCATAATTCCTTCATCTAGTTCTGTCCCTCCTAGGTTCACATCTATCTAGTTCTTTCCCCTATCAGCTCCTCTCCCGTTTCCTTCTCTCTCATCTGACTCTTCCTCATCATGTTCTTCCCCATCTTCCATCTCATTCCTCTAGTCCTCTCTTTTAGCTCTTCAATCTAGTTCTTCCCCATCTCAGCTCGTTCCTCTCAAGTTCTTACCCATCTAGTTCTTCCATTCTCTTTTCTCTTCCTCTGGCTGTGCCCTGGAAGTCCCGGTATATAAAAGGGAGGGTCCGAGCTAAATTGTGTAAAGCCATTACTTAACGTCCACCTCTCCTAGGCGGTGTCTCCTTGTGGAATTTACCGTAAGTCAGGAGACTTGCATGTGGGCTGTTATCAGATGTGGAGTTGGTAAAAATGTTTTCCCACTTGGTAGGCTACTGTTTTGTTCTATTGATGGTTTCCTTTGCCTTACAGAAGCTTTGTGGTTTCATGAGGTCCATTTATTATTGATCTTAGTGTCTGCTCTATTGGTATTCTGTTCAGAAAGTCTTTTCCTGGGTCAGTGCATTAAAGACTGTTCCCCCGCTTCCTCTTCTATCAGATGCACCTGGGACTAACAATGGGCGCCCACCTGGGTGGTGTTTCCTGTAGTCCTTGAAAGTGGCCAAGGGAGATAATCTGATTCCAGAGAAAGCCTTTCCTGAGGCTGTTCTCCAAATACCTGGAATGTGTATGTCCAGAGAGTGCCCAGTCTACACTGTTAGTCCTTCTTAGGGAAAAGTCAATTGGGAAAGCTATGAAGGCACACATGATTTTCATAACAGAATACAGCTGATATATAACAAGCCAAGTAACACAAAAAACTCCTTGGGATTTGGCTTCCTCTGGAGGAATTCCATGATCCCTCCAGGTAGTGACTTTGCCATAACCAGCTGAGTTCTTATGATATATTCCTGCAGCCCGCAACACATAAAATCTATTCTATTCACTCTTCCCCAGTAGATCCATGTGTCCTCCCTAAAGCCCTCCTCTCTACCTAGCCTCTCTGGGTCTATAGATTATATCTTGGTTATCATTTACTTAATGGCTAATATCCACTTATAAGTGAGCATATACCATATTTGTCTTTCTAGGTCTGAGTTACCTCACTCAGGATGATTTTTTTTCTATTTCATCTATTTGCCTGCAAAACTTTCACAATTTTATTTTTTTAACAGTCTAGTAATACTCCATCATGTAACTGTACCACATTTTCTTTATCCATTTTTCTGTTAAGGGATATCTAGGTTGTTTTGAATTTCTGGCTTTTTTGAATAGGGCAGCAATGAACACGGTTGAGTAACTGTCTCTGTGGCAAGATGAAGTGTCCTTTGGGTATACACCCAAGAGTGGTAGAGCTGGGTCTTGAGGTAGATTGATTCCCAACTGTCTGAGGAACCACCACATGATTTCCATAGCAGCTCTACAAGTTTGCACTCCCAGCAGCAATGGAGGAGTGTTCCCCTTGCTCCACATCCTCACCAGCATGAGCTGTCACTTTTATTATTGATCTTAGCCATTCTGACAAATGTAAGATGGAATCTTAAAGTAGTTTTGATTTGCATTTTGCTGATGGCTAAGGATGTTGAACATTTCTTTAAATGTTTCTCAGCCATTTGAGATTCCTCTATTGATAATTCTCTGATTAGATCTGTACCCCCTTTTTAATTGGATTACTGGGCTTCTAAATATATAGTTTCTTTATATATTTTGGATCTTAGCCCTCTATCAGATGTGGAGTTGGTAAAAATGTTTTCCCACTTGGTAGGCTACTGTTTTGTTCTATTGATGGTTTCCTTTGCCTTACAGAAGCTTTGTGGTTTCATGAGGTCCATTTATTATTGATCTTAGTGTCTGCTCTATTGGTATTCTGTTCAGAAAGTCTTTTCCTGGGTCAGTGCATTAAAGACTGTTCCCCCGCTTCCTCTTCTATCAGATTCAGTGTATCTGGTTTTATGTTGAGTCTTTTGATCCACTTGGACTTGAATTTTGTGCAGGGTGATAAGTATGGATATATTTGCATTCTTCTACATGTAGATGTTCAGTTTGACCAGCACCATTTGTTGAAGATGC